ACTCCCTCTTCCCGTGCAGGGCGAACAGCCGATATTGGACGATGACGACGTCTACCAGTTGCTGAATCCTCGTCAACGGCACATGTCGCCCACGAGGCCAACGCGTCCCACCACCTTGTCCGCGGATTCCATCTTGAAGCCAAACCCTGCTGAAGAAAACACTGAGGTGGCTCTCCCTGCCCTTTTATCATGTCTCCCTCCCCTCCACTTTCTGCTTCCATGAGTGCTGTTTTTTTTGAAGAACTAGGGGATGAGTTAAAGCAGTTTTTAAGGTTGAAGAGACAATGGTTGAAAATGAACACCTTTTAAATCACTCCCCTGGCCATATGCCTTTTACATTACAGCATTCGCAAGTCGCAAGAACTGATCCAGTTAGTGTTTTTTGGTTTGTCTCTTGTTTATGGTGAAGCAGGTTTGCTCCCCCTCAGTCGTCATGTTACCCAATCAAGACTTGTGAAGATAGGTAGATGGACGCAGTGAATAGCGAGACCGACGTGTCTACCTGCCCCACAAAACTTGCCTTTGTATACATGATTGCAGGCGAAATAGTACATATAAATGACTACTCACTAATTTGTAGTAGTGTGCTTTCTATGCTTGCGTAGAATCATCTCACTTGCCAGCCACACACCAACCTGTGCAAGCAGGCAATTACGTGTAATTTCCCCTCAATTTCGGATGCGGTCTTGTCATTCCTGCGAGTCTTGCACCGTCAACTGACTCTAACCTGCTCTTAAACTAACCTAATCAGACAAGAGATCATCACCTTATTCTTCCTGGTAAAATTTATGCATCTTGTTTTTTGCAATGTTTTAGATCAGCGAAGGTGCCGCTAGCGTTGAACACCCTGTCGCTGCAGCTCAATCCTCAAGAGTTTCCGAAGGTAAGTTAGTCTTGAAACATTGCGACATTCGCCGTCGGTGATTTCTTTGTCTTCTTTTCGCCGTAGTAATGACTCACAATACGTTCCTCCCAGTCGTAGCTTTTTAACCATTTCTTGCCACCGTTTTACGCCTTCCTCCGCCGAGTGTGTGCGCTGCATTTTTTGTCATATTGGCCCGTGTCTCCTTCTTATCTCCCCGTCTCTCTTTCTTTCTGTCACTAACATTCAACAAGGCGCGGGAACAATAGTCAAGCAGTTGCCCCTGCTGCCAATTCGCATTCGATTCCGAAGGATTGCCTCCATAGGGCTGTCATATTCGCTATTCTATAGTCTAATTTCAAAACATTTAAGTCAAGTCAGACATCCGGCGTCTGTGCTAGCGTCTCCCCGACCTCCTTTAACCGCTGAACTCTGTCACATATGTCTACTACGCCTTTTCCCTCGATTTTTAATGCTCCTTTAAATTAAAATTTATTTAGCAGAAAACATGCACAACTATATTCTTTCCTTTACTTTTCTGGTAGCGCATTACATCTACGTTTCTAAATAAACTGCTTCAATTCCCGGGTAATTTTCAATTGGACTTGCGTTTTCATATTTGCAGTCAGTATTCCCAAAATACGGCCTGTGTACATTCCGCCTAAGAACAATCACACACTTCGGTAAACTGTTAGGAAGATGTCCTATATTGCACATTACACTTTTAAGTGGATGTAAGCCACTTAAGCGGCATTCAGAAATAAACAGAGAGGGTGTTTTAATGAAGGGAAATGTAACCGTCTTTAAGAGCCTAAAATTATAGAATCTTTAAAAACCGAAAGATACCGTTTCTTCGAATTTAGGCTTTGAATAATACGTAATCAGTTACCACATAAGTATATGAAGCAACATTTGGTTTAGCATTCGTTTCTACAAAAATAGTTGCGTTTATGAGGGCGCTGAAAATCAGTGGAAATACGCATACTTCTTTGCCACTTGACGAATGTTCACCGCTCGGTTACGGGGTTCACTGGTCCCGTTCTCCCTGGGTGCGCACTGTTCACCCCCGCCTGCAGCCCTGCAGCGGCTGGTACCGAAGACAGGCGAACACTACCGGTGTGGAGACTGAAGTTACCATTTCTAACTCGATGTAAATCAAAATCCTTAAGACAACGAG